GCACAACAAACCAGGAATTCAATAACCGAGTACATTTACGTAACAAACAAAACAAAAACTGCAGTTCCTCTAATGGCCTCTAGAGGCTGGCTCCAGCAGTGAGTCAGTCTCCATATGGCCCCATATTAAAATGACAAACTTGAAAAACAAGGCATGATGTTGGTCTCTACAGCTAAATTCTCCACGTATTTGCAGCCAGAGTCAGAAACACATGGGTGACGCCAGAGAGATGTCCATTAATAATTATACAGTCTATAGCAGGCTTGGGTATGTAACTGAGTAATCAGGATATAAAAAAAAGACTTTCCCTATTTTTGCAATTTCATTCCAAAGGTTAAATTGTTCTGTTGTCTTATAAAATACACATTCATCAGTACTTCTTATTTATATTTCTTTTCATTTGTCTTTATTTGCATATTCAGTGTTGAGATAATCTAAAAGTAACAGAAAGTAATCAAGTTATGTTACTTTAATACTGTGATGCTTGGATTACTGACTACATTTTAACAGGTAATTAGGAATTGTATTCGATTCCACTTTTGAAGTAACCTTCCCAACCCTGGTCTATAGTAATAACGGATTACAAGTAACATTCAAGTGATCATTCTGTGGACCATTCAGTCATTTATTTCACTACTTGGTGCATGCTTGAGTTTGAGCCACTCTCATCCTCCCCCTTTTATTCTCTGACAAAAGGCCTGTACGTCACCTACCAGGTGGCAGACCAACAACACTAATATAACATATAAGCAGGTATGTGGTCGCTGTGTATTTTTTTCTGTGAGGTTCTCCTGCTCATAGTGGCCAAATATTGACTAATGCAGATTGAAATAAATTAAGTTAATCAATGTAAGTTAATTCAATTATTATCCATTATCTATAACCAGCCAATTCCAGCTGACATTAGGCGAGAGACGAAGGACGCACTGGACAGGTCACCAGTTCATCACAGGACTGACGCATACACACAAACAACCATTCACGCTCACATTCACACCTACGGGGCAATTTAAGAGTTACCAATTAACCAGCATGCCCTTGAAATGTGGGAGGAAGTCAAACCTGGAACCCTCTCGCTGTGAGGCGACAGTGCTAACCACTGTACCATCGTGCTGCCAATTATTTTTGCACGGTTAGAAAAACAAGTGCAAGCAGGGACTAGAGGACAGAGGGTCTTATATGCAGAGCAGGTGACACAGAAAGGGAGCAGAGGCAGGGCGTTGTGACGGAGCTGTGCAGCTGAAGATGCTTCAGTCCTGTGAATGCTCTGTGAATGCTCTGTAAATGCTCTGGTTCCCAACGCGACCCAGTGATCAGTGAGACAGCGTCGTCTCCTGCATGGCTGCACCACGATGCTAAACACCAGCACCAACCGGCCAAGTAGTTCTTTAGAGCTGACTGCTGTAACCTACGTGTCAATGATCAAACATAACCGGTTTATTTTTGAATGACCTTCTAAAGGAAATGGGATTGCAATGCAATAATCAGGAATGTAAATGCAAAAACATGGCATTTAGTTTGATTTTATGCCAAATCAATAAAATGTGTGCCCTTTAACAGTTCTGCTGTACCAGGCCATGATCCTGTCCATTTCCACTTTGCAACCACGCTGACCAGCAATATTGTTGTTCTGAATGTGGGTAAATCTGGTCAAGCAGGCGAGTAAGCGCCATTTTTTAAAGGTTAGCTTTGTGTTTAATGATGCATGAAGCTCCTGAGTAACAAAGGTTCCCACTCCACTGTAACATGACATAAGTACCAGTTCAGATAGAGATGAATTTATTTTACATAAAATCCTTCTTCCCACAAGTAGAAAGTGTTTTGTATTCATCATTTGATGGTGAAAAGATCGCTGCAAACCTGCTTTGAAGCATTGTACGCAGGTTGTCCTACCAACAGTGGAGTTTCAAGCTAAAGATGTAGGTTCAGCTGATTCAAACACAACTCCCAGTGCAAATGCACAGGTGATTGTTGGCACTGGTGCGATCCTGGCACAGTGAGGTGCAAGAAGAAGATGAAGAGAAGAGAAGAGAAGAAGAGAAGATGAATGCATTATTAGTGGGAGGAATACTGAATCTGTGAGCTTTAATAATGCCCTTCTTCACTGCATACACACATTTACACAAAGGTGTAATTGTTAACAATAAGGATGGCTCTGTTCCACGTACATGTCCATGCCAGGATACATAATATCAGCGCACTGGCACTGGTAAACCAAAATGGAATGCAGCCATTATTAATGTAAGACAATTTTAAATGAGCATAGAGATGAAATGGACCCAGGAACTTTGCCTCCGTGGAGAACTTTGATCTCCCACAACACAATAATACACCACCCCAAACATTAATATACATCCTGCTACACATGCATATCAGTGGCTGAATCCTATCCATCGTTTCCCTTTGTAACCTAAATGGATTTTTCAGGAAGCGTTGATACAAAATGTTGGGCCTATCTGAGCAATGATGATGTTGTTGTTAACTTAAGCAACAGAGGAGGTTGTGCTCATTATATTAATGTTTCCAGGCACATAATAATATCACTACTGCAAGAAAAGAGTATTTTAATTATTTATTTTTAACATTTTGTACAAGATTTGGATTCTTAGATCGTCTGGCTGCTCATGATTCTTCTTCTTCAGCTTCTTTGTAGTGATGCACATTCATAGAGCTCAGTAATTAACTCTCTGAATTCTGACAAAGTTGTATAAAACCAAATTTTATCTTTAAAGGTTGCAGATTGCAACGCCTCACCTTCCTCTTCCAAGCATGTAGGAGAAAGTAACTCGTGAAAAAGCCCTTTCTAGAGCCTGTTTGTCCATTCTAGGCTACTGTAGAAACATCGCAGACCCGCTCCTTCTCTAGATAAAAATGTCTCATTCTAAGGTAAAAAAAACCCACAATGATTCCTATATCCAGGTGATTATACATTAAAACATACTTATGAATATTATATTCCATTTCTGCCAATAGATCCTCCTAAATATTAGGCAATAAATGAGGCTGTGCTCAGTATATCAATGTGTTTTCATGCACACAATTATGTCACTACTGCAAGAAAACAGTATTTTACTTGTCAGACATAAATAGTTTGGACCATATTTTGGTTTGGTCTGGCTGCTCATTTCTCTTGCCATGCTGGACCTCTTTTAATCAATTAACTTTGTGAGTCTGAATACAAATACAAATGTATGAAATCAAATAAGGTGTTTTTTTATTAACTCTGACAATTTGAAGAAACAACACGGGTGAATCAACCTCTTAAACTCTGCTGCTGGGACCATCTTTACAAACATTTTTTAAACATACTTTAATTTAAATTCTAGCGAAGTTTCTAAAAATACTAAATATGAGACTGAATGTGGTATAAATGTGTTTAAAATGTCCATTTGATTGATGAGTATAAGCATCATTTACCATAAACGAACTCCAGATACAGAATATGCAGTCACTGAAATGTGTCATACACATTTAAAAAAGACGCATGACAGAAGCATAAAGGATGAAATAAGGAATTCCTCCTCATAATGTGCAGCCTTTTGCATCAGCAACCACAACCGGTCCACTCCTCAATGTGATTAAATGACATTCGGCTCATGCGTGATACTGGGTGTGTTACAAGGTCGCCGTGCTGAGACTGGGCCCAACGCCTAATGTCCTCTCCTCCCTCACTTTCTCCCTCCTCTGCCGCTCAGGCCAGCCAACACAACAAGGCTAATGGGGCCATTTAAATGTCAGCATCACAGAGATCTGAGAGACAGAAAAGCTCTTCCCTCATACTTGTGCCCTTATGTTGCGAATGTTTCAGCCGCGCCGGCATCTTCATGACGTGTTGTGTTAGTCTCCAATAAGGGAAGCAAATCCAAACACTATCCTTGCCTGATTGTGCAGAATGTGAACTTTTAAACAAAAACTGTTTGACTGCAAACGCAGTGTTGTCTTTTTGGATAAACCGCTGTCACAGATGTGATGATGTTGGTTTAAAAACCTCCCACAAAGGGTCTTTTTTTGTTTTGTTTTGCAAAACCACACTCCTAGCAGCTGTTTTACCTCGAATTAGGATTCAGGGCGGATGTGCCACTCATTCATCACTCTTTATGAATGAGGCAGCAGCTGAGCATTCAGAAAGGTAAACAAATAGCTCAGCATGGGCCTTTTATCAATCAATCTGCAGCAATCAACAGACAGATATGGGTTAGCACAAACATGCAGGTATAGGTAGGCACACAAACACCTTTACACACCTTTTCTGGGGTGTCTGTCAAACACCCAGAGCAGATTAGTGAATAAGGACGGCTTTTTACTGTCAATTTAACCCTCCTGAACACCAGCAGCAGAGAGGAAAAACAGCAATTGTGATTCATTACAAGGTCACTCACAGCTTTTATACCCAAGGCCTGGATTTCATATTTTCAGGAATACAAGAGCACACATCCTTAAACATGCTTATAACAAAATGTAATAGTATTGGGTAATTTAAATCCTGCAAGAACAAATATGTGACAGGCCTGCTGCATGTGGATCCACTGCATGCATGACTGTATGGATGACATATAGACACAGAATGAAGCTGGTATCTTCATAAAAGCACAATGCATTTACTCTAATATCATTTTTAAGCAAGACCACACTTCCTTATTATTCAGTGACCGCCTAGCAGACTTAAAAAAAGGTTGCTCCTCCTCATGCATATAGACAATATAGGCGTCCTATATGACCAGAGAGCATGTTGTGTGTATCACTGAGATTGTTCCTATAATAATCTCATGTGTGCAATCTCCTCAATGCTTAAAGCTGTCCGTTTGTGCAGTAATTGTGCAAACTGCGCGCAGACTGGAAGGAACCTCCTCACTGAGCAACCAGCCGACACATGCCGCAAGATCCCGGCATGCTTGTTCTCCTCCCAAACATCCTTCAGCACGTCAACGTTCGTGCAACAAAACGTGATGTTTAATGCGAGACAGTACAATTCCAATTCATCCGTTTCTACCAAATCTTACCATTGCATCGATATTCTCCAAATGCAACTCCCGCGGTGTGGATCCTCCGGTGGATCCTCTTGGCGGATGAAATGCTGTGCGCTCCGCAGGAGGACGAATCAACCCTCCCGGGACTGTGGAGGTACAAGGCTCCCCGGTGGCTCCAGCAAACACAACTTCCAGTTCGGACAAAATGTTGTGGGGCTTTTTGTCCTGAAACCGGCACAAAAATGCGACACGGTCGTCTTTTGGGGAAATGAATTCAGATTTCCTCCCAGCGCGCGATAAGGGCTGAGTTATCACTGAGGAGATTTCGAGCAATTGTGCCGCCTGCGGATGGCTGCTCGCTTCGCCCTCCACAGAAGAATGCACCGCGCATTTCAACTAACCCCCTCTCTCTCCCTCTCCCTCTATCTCGTACACACACAAACACTCACACACATGCGCGCGAGGAAGCACAAATGCAATTTCGCATGATAGATGTGAGACATGAACGCGTTACTTTGAATAAATAATCCAGTCACAGCAGATTCAACACAGAAAACTGATATATGGATGAGATGTGGTGGAACATGCAGGGAACGTGTGTGTGTGTGTGTTTGTGTGTGTGTGGTCCTAAGGTCACTGATCCAAACAGAGATCAGGACCACGGACAGCGACCATCATCATTTTATTCTCCCTGATAGAAAATATGAAAGTGTGATGATCTCCTGTTCTCATGAGTATCATCTAAAATCAATGTATTCTGTCAGGAGGAGAGTCTTAAAATTACAGGGGAAATTCAGCTTCACTATTATTATTGAGTTCATTTAATTAAAACAAATTGTTGAAACTGATTAAGTCAATGGTTTTAAGTAAAACTAACTCAATTTTGTAAGTTAAAAAAACATTGTTGATCAAGTAGTTTTAGTAACTTTAAGTGACACTAACCTCATTTTGTCATATTTATTTGTACAGTGAAAAACAAAATAAAAACTATTTCATCAGGAATGTTTCTGTAACTTATAAAACGAAGTTGGTGTCACTTAAAATTAACAGTAAAAGCAGCTTAATAAAGAACATTTAAACTTGAAAAATTGAGTTTGTGTTAGTTAAAATTGCCGATGTAATCATACAGACCTGTGAGAATTTAATGCAGTCTCAAGATGAGAATGCCTGATTGGAGTGATGGGTGTGAAAATGATGTGAAGCACTATCACCTAAAGGTCTCATGCTTTCAACAAATTATTTGTTGACTACTAACTAAGTCACATAGCGGTTCCAAACAATGTGTCAGAAATATCAGACCTAATTTTGACAATGTGACTGCTGCTGTGACACCACATATTTGCATCAACTAAAAACCGCCAGCGCCATGATCAAAGCTTGTTACTGTTTTCCTGCATTTCAACACAGAGCGGCGCAGCTGGACGACACGTGTTCTGGTAAATCACAGCGCTGTAATAATGATGTGTTATCTGACACAAACTATTTATCTGACCCCTCTCGCACAGTGTAACATGAAAGGAACCTACAAGATCAGCTAGAGAGGGACTTGTCGCAGTAGTCGATAGCTCTGAATGTGCGCTACATCCTGCTGTCATGCAGCTTTAGCGGTTCTAACAGCGGACTGGAGCTCCCAGTGAACAGCATGGCCAGATCAGGTCCGAATACAGCATCCAGTGCCAAGACGAGTCGAGACCCAGTCCAAAGGTTCGAGTCCAAGTCTACATGAGCGAGACAAAGTCAGCTGAGTACTACAGCACTGCATTGGAGGTCAGTTTGACGACAGACCTGAGGTGGGTGTTTGTCGGGTTTGGCTCCTGGCAGCCTAGGGCTGAGTAAACAGCAGCTAACAAATCACCTCTGTGTCGTCAGTCAGGAGGCTGCTGAGCCCCGTTTTGTTGTTCGCTAACGGCAGCTAGATTAGCAGTTAGCAGAGTTGAGGCAGAGCAGCTAGAGGACGTCAGAGGGAAAATCAGAAAATATAATATATAAAACAAAGTGCTTGTCAAATCATCTGACAGGTGGAGGTGGTGTGAAAGTGGGCTTCGATCACACATGAAGGCAACATAATTGTCCAAACGTATTGTAAGATTCCTCGTGTTGCAACAATAAACACTGCAAAAGACGCAATGTTCTTGCAGAGGGATCAGGGATGCAGCCAGAAGGAAGATTTTTACCTCATCTTCAAGCCAAAAATAATTTTGCCTCAAACTACGAACATGTTTTGCAACCTAGTTCATTTGAAGCTTATTGCACCCGTTAGACAGCGCTCTCCACCGCCATCATCAAAATACCAAATGACGGATACTGGAAGACTATTCAGAATATCTTATTACAACACTTCAGGCTGATCTCACTTTAATTTGTCACACATTAGTACATCACAATCCAGTCTTCAGGATTTGGTTGTGTATGCTTGTGGGAATCTAAATCTCTAACAGTTGTGATGGTGCATGAACAGAGGAGGAGGAGGAGGAGGAGAAAGAAGAGTGGCTCTAAAAATATATTCTCTCTATCTTACCCTCTGTGATTGATGTAAAACTCTGCTTATCTGCAGGAGAATGAAAAATGAGCAGAAATATTTCAATCCTTTTGGGAAGAGAGGCTAAATACACATCTAGCAGATCCCACCAGAAATGAAAAATACAATTAATGAGCTTAAAGCAGGGAAAAGCACTGGTCAGCGACTGGTACAGTTTACAGGCTGCTTCTCTCTGGCTCTTTGTAAACCTGCGTATTCTCAGACCTGCATGAAAGAGGCAACAGAGTTGAAGCAAGGTTACAGAAGTAGGAGGTGTGTTATTATATCAATTTGCACTGTCAGAGAAATGTTAAAGTGAGGTCTATATTTGATGTGCAGCACATTTTTCTGCTACCTTGGCTTTTTGGAGAAATGTTACAAAATGCACTGTATTTAACTTGTTTTGTCCACTTCCACTTACGAAGAGCCTCTCCAGCGCTAAGAATCTATCTGATTTCTCTTCTCCATCTAACCCTCATTGTGTATTTCATTCTACTTGTATTCCCCGTCCTGCTATCATCCAGCCCTCCCACACAGTGTGTAGTGGTGACTCGAGTCTGCCTTCATCTCCCAGCCCGAGCTGCAGAGAGGAGAACGAATCATCACTTTTCAACTTTCCTTCATTCTCAAATCACAATATGTCTCAGATATAGCACACGCACACACACACACATACACACACAAGCACTGACATGCACACGCAGGCCCCGGCTGGCCGCTCTGAAGGAATCGTGATCAGGATTTGAGTGGTTCTCTTGACGCAGTGACATCATCACTAATTGATCCTCTTTTGAATTCTGACAGGGGAATAATATGCTGCTGTATGGGGTTGCCATGGCAACTGGTCCGTTTCAATGCAAGGGGGATGTGGAGTGCTGCTGGAAGCTGGGGGGTAATTGGGGATGTTGGGGGTGGGAATGGAGGGGTGGGTTGGTGGGTGGGGATGTGTGTGAAGAAATGGGGGGTTGTGAGCTGCCTGAAAGAAAAGAGTTAAGAGAAAGAAAATGGCCTCGGCGCATTCGGAGCATTCGGACGACAAACACCTGTCAAGCACACAGACCTGACGATGAAAAACAACTCATACACAAGAGTGAGGGGGGGGGGCTCAGATTCACACAAAGAAACAAATGCATTTAAAATCAAGCTGAAGATTAGACTGAGCTTTTGAGATCTGGATCAATCACAAGTCTCGCCTCAACTCCAAGCTATTGACCTGGTACCTCTGCACACAGATCCATAGGGCGAAGGTATTTCTACAGCAGAGCCCAAAGGAGAAAAAACACTTTGTGTGCCTAATTGATTGACGTTCGGTGCTTGTGAGCTGCAGACTGAACCCCTCTAAGTCAACACAGTCACTGTTTTATTAGCACAGAAAACTTAAATCAACACCGCTTCTGAGTCTTGAAGCCTCACCATAAGACACACTGGCAGATTTACACACTATGCACCATTAGGGAGGTATTTAATAGCTTATTATATTATAACACGGCAACCCAAAGGCAGAAAAATGCAAAATAATTCAATGTCCTGTAGCAAAAATGCATTCAAGTGCTATTCATAGATCTCAACTTTATTTCTACTCTCTCTGTCTTCAGCTCAGTTTCATTTTAAGAATCTTTTACATTGTGTTAACTTACACCGCCCTTTCGTCATGGCCAAAACATATGACCTCTATGGTCAAATTATAAAGATTGAACGACTGGAGTGTAAACACAGAACCCCTTATCGGGTGTATTGACAGTTCCAGTAAACATTCATTCAAACAAGATGGAAACGGCCTAAAAATGTTGACAAAAAAAGAGAAAGGCAGCGTTACTTTGAGGAATTCATCTTTGAACAGAAAACATAAAGAAAAACTGTAATAAACCTGAACAAGGGTCAGTGGACTTGGCAGCAAATCAATTTTTGCTTTGAAATGGGACTACCATTTATAAATATTGTTATTGTGTTTCATTTTCAAAGCAAAAAAATGAAAATGACTCGTTTCCTGATTTAGCTTTTCTCATTTTCATGTCTGAAAGATGAACGATATGGCTCAGCTTTATTTGAATTACAATTGTTAACAGTACCTGGTGAGGTACTCAGCAACAGATTTAGGGTTATGTTGTGTTTAGGGTTAGAGTTGTGCTTAATTAGTGTACTAGCAGCTTTTTTGGTCCAATTCAGGCACTGTGTAAAATAAACTGCATTTAACGAACCAAACCAACTCACACTCATTCGATTTCCTCGCTCTTCAAACGATGGTAGACTAATTAGGCTTATTTTACGTGTTTATCACAAAAGCAAAGGTTATATCTCATGAAAAGGAGTCTCTAAAATCCTCTGTCCTCCACTAGACGGAATCGCTGTGTTGAATTTCATGGATATTGAAAGGAAACGGTTTAGGATCTTCATCTCTGACCCACTTCATTCTTCTCAGGGTTGCTGGAATCTCTCCCAGAATGCGCTGGGCAGAAGGTAGAGACACCCCACATGGGTCACCACAGTCCATTGCAGGGTCAGTGCTGTCAATATGCTTTATTGGCATTCAGAGGGAACATGATGGGAGTAATGATAAAATGAATGAATGGCTCAACGATAAACATTTCTTTGTAACGTACAGTGACAGAGGGAGGGGCATAGCGGCGATGTCCGGGAGATTAACGCTGGCGGAGACGGGACACTGTGAATGTCGGGAATGTAAATATAACGCATCTCCCTTCCTCGCTCCGCCAGCAGGTCTTCCTCATCATGCTGTAGCAACAACAGCGATTGAAATCACCATGGCAACAGAATTTCTACCTGAAAGCAAAGCTGTGGAGAAGCTGGAGGAGGAGGAGGAGGGATGGAGAGACAGAG